ACCTCTACACTCCATTTGTCTTCCATACTGTGGTCATTGTTCTGTGCTGATTTTTCTTTTGCCACCTTTATTGTTCTTGTTGTTGTTTAGTTCTTGCAATTCCAGTTCTGAAAACACTTTACTCCGGATAATAAACCTTTTCTGTTCCATTAATCATTGTTCAGTGATGTCACTATTTGGGTATTTCCTTTTCCAAATCTCCTTCATTCTTTTTTGAAGACCATGGGCTGTTTAGTTTGCCTTGTAATAGCATTTCATAATTTATCCATTTTCGGCAAGAGTCCAAGTTCTGCATTTACTTTTGTTCCAGTAGCTTTGCAGCAGCCTGTCCTGGTTCCTCAACAGAGTCTGCTGAGCCTTGTAGCCCATTTGTCACCAGATGTCCAGGAGCTATAGCATCTGATGAGGTCCTTGTAGCGAAATGCCAAAAGGTGACGTCATTTCTGCCTGTCCACAGAAGCTCAAGGGGGAGGAGCCAAGGATAGGGCAGGAGGGGCGGAGTTAGACAAACAGTTGGACAGTTGGAAAGACAGTTGGAGATGTGGAATGGCAGGCGGAGTTAGACAAACAGTTGGACAGTTGGAGAGACAGTTAGAGATGTGGAATGGCAGGTAGGATTTAGAAGAAAGAAGGAGAGGGTTAGGGAATTGAGCTGAGAGTGTTAGGAGAGGGAATTGAGAAGTTTAAACAATATTGTACAAGCAGGAATGAAAGTATAAGCACTACAAGAGAGATATTGATTCAAAGTATACAGCAGTTTGGAATAAAAGTGATTGCCTACATGATCCAATACGTGTTAATACCTGATATATGTGATTTACCTGTATGATACCTGATACAGTTCATATGTGATTTACCTGTTTGATTTTTTTTGACCATAAAAGAATACTTAATTAAATCTCTGATTCGTTTTGGCAGCACACGGATGTAACATTGATTTACCTGTATGATTTTTTGACCATAAAAGAATACTTAATTAAATCTCTGATTCTTAAGTTATATAACCCTTCGTTTTGGCAGCACATGGGTGTAACATAATTGGTATTAGGAGAATACCTGGTGGCAGCATGAAGGAAGAAGGGCACAATTTTTTGGGAGGACGAAATAAATAGCAGCAACAAAGGGAAGATCGCCACAGTCCTTGTTGACCAATCAATCCCATATGGATTTCTGTTTTTTTCCTCTCATAATAATTGATGGTTGGTGGACACAGTTGGTTTGGCTTCTCAGCTGAGACCTGTCTCACTTGGGATACTCTTCAGCATAGCTCTCAGCCTCACTGAAGTACACAAGCCCCTCCACCTCAACAAAGCCTGTGAGAGACCTGTCTCACTTGGGATACTCTTCAGCATAGGTCTCAGCCTCACTGAAGCACGCAAGCCCCTCCGCCTCTACAAAGTTTGTGACCATCATGATGATGATGATGATGATGATGATGATGATGATGATGATGATGGGGAATAAGCTCCACTGAAATCAACAAAGCATGTGTTTGAACAGACAGTGTATAGGATTGTGCTGATACAATTTTAAAATTATTATTATTTTGTACGTAATTATTCATTCTTAACTGTATAATTCTGTTTTTCAGGCAAAACAATATTTTGTTGCCAGGGCTCACAGCAAATAAACGACAACATGCCATGGACCTGGGATGGTCTCTCTAAGTAAGAGGTAAGGTTACAAATAAAAGGCAGGAGAAACCAGGGAAGGAGAGAAGAGGGGGTGCAAACAATCGATTAATGGCAAAGCAAAAGAAATAACAGCCTTTTACAGCCAATGGGCCCCCCACTAACCCTTCCTAGCTGGTGTTCTGGAGGCGATGCAACTACCCGGAGGTCTAAGGACCTTTGCCCAGGGAAGGAAACTGACAGTAAGTAGTCCCTGCGTCAGCACTGATTGTTATCGGAAGACCAGTTTCCCTGTGGCAGGAGCTCCTATTTGCACAGTAGCAAGATAGAAAACCACTTCCTCTCTCCCTTGCTATATTAAACCTGCAGCTGTAGAGAAACTGAGAGTCCGCTCGTGATCTTCTCAACAAAACCAAAAGCACAGGCTGGATATAGTCAGGGACTGCTCTTCTTCTCATTGCTGTGGTTATATTAGCCCCCATCCATCCTGAGGGCTCTCCACACTTTGCTTAACAAGCAGAAGCAGCAAACGTCTTCGCTGGTGCTTCAGTGGTGCTAGAGAAAGAGAGACAAAGGAAGAAAACGGCCCATCCTGCATACTTTGTGACTCACACAACCACACAGAGGACCATGTCCACATGTCTAGCTTAGCATTAACATGGTTAGGTGAAACAATATTTCTGATGGCTACCTCAACCCTGGATCAACCGAGACACAAAGCTAATACAGAAAGATCAGCAAGCGTCTTGTATTCGGATAGTTTTGATTGGAGTCAATTTTAGAAATATTTTGGAAAGAAACATGTGTGCTGTATAATATGAATCTCCCCATATTTTAAGACCTTCCAGAGAGAACTTTCACTCACTCCTGTCACCCTGACACATACACGGAGCGAAGAATCTTCTTCGTGGCAGCTGCCATGCTGTGGAATTTCCTTCCACCAGAGGTTGGCCCATTCCATGCTGTTTTTCTGAGAACAGGCGCAGACCTTTCTCCACATGGAGGCCTTTAGCAGTGGGGACAGGAGCTTCTAATGGGGGGAAGTGTTTTGAATTGTTTTAAGCTAGTTCTCCTTTAATTGTATTTTAATATTATAATTAAATTCCTGTTTTCAGTTGCATTTGTTTCCAATCATTTTGTGAGATGCCAGGAGGGAGGGTGGTGTGATATTGGGAGAAACATGGGATGGATTGAAAGGAAAGGAAATAAAACAATCAGAGCCACTGACCAGCTGATAAGGAAAGGAACCGCATGGAGGGGTGAGTCTAGTTCTTATCCCTTTGGGAAAAACCCCAGGGGAGATTTTTAACCTTTTCTAAAAGGTCTGTCCAGGGATGCTCAAGCTGTGGAGTAAATGCGGGAATTGTGGCTGTATCACCCGTTTGCCCATGCAGTTCTGTCCAGCTAAAAGTGCACCTCCCGTTGCCTGTTCATTCCATCCTGAAGAAGGTCATGGTAAGAACATGCAAACAGGTTTATGAAGACATAATGAATTCCTCCTTATTAACAAAGAGTTTAGTACACTTTTCCTTTTTCACTTATTCCGGTTACATTTTCCTTATTGAACCCTTTTATATTCAGACACAAAAAGCTGTCAGACACAAAGGGCCAATCTATATATTATATAAATGACCCATAATTAGAGCTGCAGTCGTGTTAGCATTCTAGAAATATGATTGTGGGGTGTTTTGTCTCTGAGGACTCAGACTTACAAAAGAAGAATATGTTGATGGCTTGAAGACCAGTCACAAGCTAAATTGCAAACTAGGGGAAGGGAGGAAAATATGCTGTAACAATCATATGCAATCAGCACTTAAGGAATTCCCTGTTCTAGCAACAGGTTAACGTTAATGTCTAATTCAGGCCTGCATTCTCACCTTGCCCTCCATCTAGACTTTGAGCAGACCTAGACTTGCTGAACCCCTTGCAAGTTTACAGCATGACATACTTTCAGACTACATAATGGGGGATAGTTTCCAGCAGGCACTGCTAAGATTCATAAGTCAGGGCTCAAAACAAAAGGCCACGTAAGGTGACTGACTCATTCTCCGTACAGTAATAGCAGGATTGGCCCTCTTCTAGTTCAATTTGCCCATGGATTGTGGAAGGGGGAAAAAAGCACAGAGAGGTTTGAGGGGAAAGGGAGAGGGGCAGATTGAAAAGTCTAAGATGGTGAGACTCCTGGGGCCCTGGCTGGAACCCCACACGCTGCAGATTTCTCTCTCCCCCCCCCCCGCTACTGCTACTGTACAAGAGTTCTCTCCTCTGTGTGCCTTTACTCTTTCTACTGCACAGGCACAGTGTGAAAACCCTTGTCTCTCTTTTAGATGAAAAGTTTGTTCCACTCAATCAAACAGGATTTACTTCCAGATTAGTATGTTTGAAATCAAAAATTGCATTCCCATTCAAGTCAACCTGTGCTAAACTCTTCTAAGGCTGTCAAGATCTGCTGAGTGAGAAATATGAGAAGTGTTATGTGCAGTCAGCTAAACGCAGTATGGAATGTGATAATGGCATGGCAATTTTTATTTTCTTAATTTATGGGTGGGAAAATGGCAGTGCTGAAATATGTATGGATGGATAGATAGATAGATAGATAGATAGATTTCAGCACTGCCATTTTCCTATATATATAGGCTTTACTCCCTCTCATATTTAGTGCACAGTGATCTGTGTCAAAGGATAAGTAATTTAATTTATGGGTGGGAAAATGGCAGTGCTTTACTCCCTCTCATATTTAGTGCATAGTGATCTGTGTCAAAGGATAAGTAACGAATATACTAAAATAAACGTTCAGACTTTAGAATTTATTCCTATGCTATGTTTGTGCGGCCTCCTTCGTGAAAAGAGCAAAGCCCAGAGTATTCAGGGGGTTTGCCAAGCAGGTGTAAGGTTAGGCTGAGAGTCACTTAATTTCAGATGAAGGGTGACAAAAGTAACTTCAACCAATTGCAGTAGAACATAAAACTCCAGTTTTACAGTCTGGATATTGAAATATTATTCTATTTTATTTTTCAGCATGTTTGGGATATGCTTTTTTTTTCCAGCTTCCTCCCAGCTTCTGATTAGTGTCTCCCCATAATATTTGTGAATCAGTGGCCATCAATGTTCCCTCTAAGCTGTGAAGCGCTGTGTCAGATGCTTGCAGCGTTGTGTCAGGCGCACACACCACAGCCGGTGTTTCCACCTCTTTGGTTCCGGTTGCAGCTAGAGCCACACGGGGAGACAGAGCCACGCACCCAGAGGGTGGAGCCCCACCCAGTGGGGCCGAATTTTAGGGAGAACATTTGTGGCCATTCTTGGCTTTTGGCTTTTCCAAATGCAAATGTGAAATTTTGAATTCTCAAAGCATGATGTTCAAACAACATGTGAAATTGTATAATTTCAGTTTATTTACAAACAGAAAAAGAGAGATTCCCCCCCTCCGTAATGTGCTTTGAACATCACAGAACAGGCACTGTGATCATCTGTCCAGGCTGTAACTATGAATCTGGTTCACCAATGCTGCCAGCATTTCCTTGGCACATTCTCACACTTATATTCCCAAACACCGAGATGGAAGAAGCAATATATTAACTGTAATTTCTCACATGCACTGATTTGGGAGATTGCACCAATTTCCACACTTACACTAGATTTTCATTGCAGGTTTTGTTCTGTTTTGCAGTACATGAATCAATGCACAACAGCTCACAGACAAAGTGTGGGGAGGTTCATCCTAAAACAGGAGGAGGGGAGGTTATCCTCCTCCCTGCGAGATTTAGGAGCTACTTTGGGAATCAACTAGAGATGGGGACGAACCGCTCAAACAGCAGTGGTTTGTGCCCATTTCTAGAATCAGCATTCTTGCAAGCAGACATATACTTCAAGTTAACATATTACTTCTTTCCAAGCTCCGTGCAAGAGGTCTTGCTTCCTGAAGCAAAGGATAAGGTGGGGTTCTTACTCACTCCCATTTCCATTAACAGAATAGATTTTTACTTCATTGGGGCAATGTTCTCCCCCACACATCAAGGCAGGTTAGTGTACTTGGAACAAGCCAAGTGGCACACTCAACACTGCCTCTCCAACAGCACGAATGGGCAAGGAGACTAAAAAAGAATGACTGTGCAAGCTGCTGTTACACCAGTAAACCTTGGAAACATTCCTTTTTTTTCTGGATGACAACTCCCAGAAACCTCCAGACATTAACTCTGCACCCCAACTCCAAACATCTGCTGTCCGGGACAGTGTCTATTTACTCTACCTCCTAGTAGAGTTTGATGATGAAGGTAAACAAAAACAAGAATGGGTGGCTTATAGATGCAGTTTATATATCAATGATGGCTCAGTTTGGTTCAGAAAAAAAGACCTCTTCTTAGGGAGAGTGTTTCTACTTAGAAAGATCCATCCTTCCCTTTTATGAGCTGTTGCACACCTTTGCCCAGCAGTAGGGCATGCATTCTTTTTGGCATGTTCACTGTTTAGCCAGGAGACAGCAGCCTCTAAAAGCCTCAATTTCCAAATCTGCAGTCATTTCATAATGACTGCAGATTTAGAGAGAGAGAGAGAGAGGAGAAAGCGGGAGGGGAAGCAGGGACAGGGGGAGGGAGAAAAATAGAAAGGCAGCAACAAAAAGAGAGTGGAGCAATAAAAAAATTATTTCACTTCCCTTGACAGTTCACAAATGATCAAAGGAAATGCTTAATTGACAGCTTATCAGGCTACGAAGGACCATTTGCTGTTCAGACAGGAGGAGTATGCCAAATAGCACATTGCTCCTCTCCCCAACTTCAATAAACCCTTTGTGGCCTGATTCACCCTACACCAACAATGGCCAGTCTGGAGAGGCCCTAAGGCCCCTTAATAACTGAATGAAGGGAATGTGTGGATAATACCTATTGTGTGAAGTGGCCCTTTGTTTTGCTAATCTAGAAAATAAATATGCCTAATTGTTGTGTGTGTGAGCAACAAAGACTTGGGACAGGGGCCAGTTCCCTCCTGAAGGATAGGTTCCTAGTAGTTTTTGCATAATACATATGTATGTATTATGTATATATATAATACATATGTGTATATATGGGGTGTATGTTTGTGCGTGTGTGTGTGTGTGTGTGTGTGTGTGTGTGATATGTGTGTGTAGATAACCTAATTGTTGTGTGTGTGAGCAACAAAGACTTGGGACAGGGGCCAGTTCCCTCCTGAAGGATAGGTTCCTAGTAGTTTTTGCATAATACATATGTATGTATTATGTATATATATAATACATATGTGTATATATGGGGTGTATGTTTGTGCGTGTGTGTGTGTGTGTGTGTGTGTGTGTGTAATATGTGTGTGTAGATAGAGAGAGAGAGATTCCCACTCCTGTTGTCTTAAGGCACTTTCAAGCAGCAATAAAACTCTTTCAATCCAAATGGTTTCTTTCTCCTCTTTTTGGACTTTACTCCATGGCTGCTGCCCAAATTTTCAGGCGAGAGCACAGATCTGAAGCAACACCAAAAGTCTGTGCAGAGGCCGCACAGCCTCTTTTACTCAGGGCAGGATTGCCTCTGAAGCATTCACAGAAGACAGTCCTCTTTTGGAAGGTGTCTCCCAGTTGAAGGGCTATTCAGTCTTATCTGATTTAAAGAAAAAGAACTAACATGAGGGAAAACAGGGATCCTGACATTTTGTCTATGGACAGTTAGTATCAGGACAACAGCCCCACGGGTCAGATTACTTGTCTTCCTCCCTCAGATGAGATCCATTCTGTGTAATTCTGGTTACATTATAGAAATAATTCCTGATTTTGCATCTGTACATATAAATTAGCACATGCAATTCTATTCAGATCAGCGTCCTCCTCGGCCTTCTCTCTCTCTCTCTTTTTCAAGACAGATGCCCTACTTTGCAGTGATATAGAAGACGCCAATCTAAAGGTCAGAAGCGACTTTCTTCCTCTTCCACAGCTTGGTGAAGGCCAGGGATAAAATTCAACAGCTTTTTTCGAATGCTTCCCTTTCTGGTTTTCCGCGGGAGAGTCCCAAAGATGCTTGAGACATGTCCTGCATCCCAGGAGGGTGATCCAGACCCGTTGCTAGCTATGCGGACACTTCTGTGCCTTCTGAGTGAAGTCTTCGGCACTGTGACATCAGTGTCTCTTGGCAGGAAGCATTCATCGTCTGTACTCGACTGCCGGCTGAAAGTCTCAAAATCGCTGGCTGAGTAGAAACTGTCCTCACTGTCTACTGTCATGGAGCTTAGGCGGCTTAAACAGCTGCTTTCACTGAGAAACCGAGGTTTGCTTGCCAAGGCTGACCCTGAGCCCACATAATCTCCGAAGGAGTTAAACTCTTCTAATCCCATGGAGTCTGGTGGTGAACACTCTTCCCCTAGAAAAGAGATAGAGGAGAACCAGAATTAAACCCACAAGAACTACAGTTCGCAGAAGCAGGAATAAGGTACTCAGTTTAATCTTCCTGAAATGGAATTTGAGTAACAAGAGGCCACTGTAAACCTATGGAGTGGGGGCGGGGAGAAGGGATTGTTTCACTTCTGCTTTATGGCAGGAACACATTGTGCAAATGATGTGATAAAAGCTGTAATTATATGGCCATCATACCAGAACATTTCCTTTTTTGGGGACTACAACTCCCATTCCATGTTGGTTGTGGGATTGTGGGAGTTGTTCACACTCTTTTACATTCTCAGTGCTCTCCTTATAGAATGGGGTGCTATAATACTAACGTTTTTTGCAGAGTTGTAGTACAGGTAACAGTTAGACGATATATGTGAAACACTCTGGATAGTTTAAAGTATGATTCCAATAATGTATTAAGTATTCTTTCTTCAGGTATTCTTTCTTGTGAAGAACAACCTTCCAATCCCAGAGGTTTGACCTGTTAGACTTTGGACTCCAAGCCCCAGCATGGCACAGAGAGCCTCCCCCCTCCCCCCAACACTCAAAACAGTTAATACAAACGGACAAAATATTATTGACTGATTGGTTCAAGTTATTTACAAACCGCGTTTTATAAATTATTGCCCAGGCTGGTTAAGAAAATAGTGATAATCAGAAAAATTAAAATAATAAAATAGGAAAACAAACAAAATCATAATAAATTAGAACAGTGTGAAGGAATGAAGAAAACTTCAATATAAAATGTAATGGTTGAAGTCCAGTAGTAAATTACAACTAGAGTAGACCCATTGAATCAGTGGAGCTTACAAATGTGTTGCTTCCCCAAGTCCCCACTGACCAATTGAGCCTACTCTAGTTGTGACTTACTACTGAATTTCAGCTGTTGTTCTAAAAATGGCAAACTTATGCCACAGATTACTATTTACAGGTTAGAGGTCAACAAATGCGAGGAGGTGTAAAGTGCTTCTATTCAACTTTCCCGAAAGAATTTATTTTACAGGGAGGGAAAGTAAGCCAAAAATGAAACCAACCAACCTCATGCCTATTGGCTTGGTTCACATCATTTTTGTAGAACACCCTGAGGTAGTAAAATTTTCTTCTCTGGCATTAATAAGCCCTTCAAACTTACCATTCACAAGGTGGTGTTCTTGTAAACATAGAGAACGGAACTCTACCAACTTCTCCTGCAATGATTTCTGTAAAACAGCAAATAACAACCAGTAGCCTTAAACCTCATTAAGACATAATACATTCTTTAAAAGCTGCCATTTAAATCAGTAGCAATTTTGCCACTGACTTCAGTGGGTTGTGGCTCAAACCAACAATAAGAAAGCAGTGTGTTTTATCTCTGTCCTCGTGGTACTTTTTAAAAATCAGGATTTACCCAGGTCTGACTGCAATTAAAGTGAATGGGATGATGTACAGGTCACAGAAATGTGTTCTGTTACTCCACAACCTTCTCTAAAAGAAAAAAGAAAAAAGCTCAGTTTTTTAAGAAAGAAAGAAAGAAAGAAAGAAAGAAAGAAAGAAAGAAAGAAAGAAAGAAAGAAGCTCAAATTTTAAAACTTAGACTTCAGAATACTGTAGAGGGTGCATCCCTCCTGTCAATACTTGATTCTTATTTTCTATGTTAATTTTTTTCTATATTTCTCCATCTTGAATGATACTAACATCATTGATTTAAATTGTTGTTTAATTGTTTTATGATATTTTTATTGTAAGCCACCCAGAGTAGACGTAGTCTAGATGGGCGCGATATAAATTGAATGAATGAGTGAATGAATGAATGAATGAATGAATGAATGAATAACGTTTGTGCTGCATTTAATATAATCATAAATCTTTCAATATTTTGTTTCTTTTGGGGAAGGTTTTTTTTAATACGCATGTCTAAATAGGAACAGTTTTAAAAGACACCACACAGAAAATAATTATTGTACGAGAACTATTGTAGCTGTCAAAACGGACTTGCTAGTTACACCTCTAGAAAGTCTTAAGGTGGAAAAAATGCACAAGCATCAGGGTTTAATTGTCTGGTTTCTACAGGTGCAGTCATAGAAGTGACTGCTGTGTTACACTGCTACTCCTTCATTAAAAGCAGTTCTTAAGAGCTGAAAATGTTCCACTTCCAAATACGTAGCTGGATAATATGTATGCTTTTAAACATCTCTTAGTCCTACACTTTGCATGGTTAGGTGTATACTTAAATAAAAAATGTAGGTGATTTATCTGTTGGTAACTGTGAATTTCAAATCTTAGAGTGGCATACATTATGGTTATAACAAATGTATTATAGCTAATTCTTTTGAATTCAGTTCCAGTACTTGCAAAAGCTTTCCTCCAAAGAGTGAGAAAGACCCATCGCAAAGTTTGTCCAAACTTGGGTAACCGAGAGGATTGGAATCCACTCAGCATTCTTCCTGGTCGCCAAGCTTCATAATCAACTCCTCTGTCCTCATTAATCATGGCAATGAAATATCTGACTCTGCACTTCAGCTCTTTTCTAGCTCCCACCAGCTTGAATGGCAGGAAGGAGTTCCTTCCCTGCTTAGCTGGTTTAATCAAAATGCACACTTGCTTATGACCACTCTTCTTGGCACTGCTGTCATTTGGAGGTCAGGGACAGGTGATGGCTCCAGGTTACATAAGCAGTGTAGCTAAAGGGCCTCTGGCCTTCCCACATTCTTCCTTTTGATTCTACTCTTTTTAAACCATTTATTCCGCAGTGGACGAACACAGCAGAGTGAGCAACAACAACAGTAGCCGAAAGGACCGTGCCCCCATCCATATTCTCTGCTAGATATTATTGGCAATGCACTGTCATGGGGACAATTTATTATGGCCATTTCGGCAACATGGAAAGGTTCTTCCAATCAATATGAAGATCTCGTGGCACTGGAGACCTTTAAGCCCCTTTCGACCAGAGTTTCACCCAGTTATCCTCTGCTGATACAATTCAGGCAAGGAGATCGGTAACTGGATAACTAGAGAATTAGTTTCCAATTTGCTAACAGTGGCAAGATTGATGGTTGCTAGGAGTGTGTTTATTTATTTATTAAAAACTATTTTACCTTGCCTTTCTCCCATGGTGGCTTACATCATTAAAAGACAATATTTAAAACTAAAAACAGTAAGTGTACAAATACTAAAAAGGGTCAAACAGATAACGCACTAAAAGGCAGTAAACAAAAACAACACCAAAAACGCATTCAAAGTAGTAAGGCACAACCAGAGACAAAACGCCTAATACAAGAGTCCATACGCTTCTGGAGGGGAAACGGAGTTCCACAAAAGTAAACCATATAGGTGGTTACTCCCAAATGGTCCCAGGGTTGGGGAGCAGTGTATATGTAGATTTTCTTTATTTTTTATTAGATATTTTAATGTTTATCAGAAGTTTTATTTTTTATTTTTTGTCTGTATTTGTCTTTTTATTAATTTGGAATAAATGGTAAATTAAAAAATAAAGTATCCCCTCCCCCTCCCCCCAAATACCAGTTTGCTGCCTTGATGACAAGTCACCAACCTGGGGAAAATTAGGAGGGACGGGGACTTAAGTCGCACTGAAGTCACACCAGGAACTCAACTTGGACTCAACTTGGTTTACCCCCCCCCCAATGACTTGCACTCATTTGCAACTTGGAACCATTTTTCCAAGTCACTTGCCAAGTCCCGCCACCACCACCCCGCACCTACCTGTTCCTGCCACCACCACCACCACACGCTGCTGTCCTCAGAAGCAAGCAGCAGGCTTGCTTTGCCTTTCCAGGAACCAGCCCCACCACTTCTGGACATGATCAGAGGTCTGAGCATGCTCGGAAGAGGCACGCTTGGCTCCTGCTTCTGGGTATGCACAGACTTCTGAGAACACCCAGAGGCTACAGACCTTGCTCCTGAAAGGGTAGCTGAACTTACTGCTTGCTTCCAAGGACAGTGGTGCCCAGTGGTGGCAGGAGGAGGTAGGCAGTGGGGGTGGCAATGTGGTGGTGGTGGGGTGGCAGTGACAGGTAGGCAGTGAGGAGTGGCAGGGGTAGCAGTGAGGGGCAGTGGCATATCAGTGGCAGGAGCAGGTAGGCAGCAGGGGGGTAGAGGTCAGGCCCGCTGTTTCTGAGCATACACTGAGGCAAGGGCCTGCTCCTAGAAGGAAAGCCAGAACTTAAGTTTCTGCGCATGCGCCTGTACCTGTCCCCTCCTGGCCTTCACTCAACTTGGACTCAACTTGGTTTACCCCCACCACCACCATGACTTGCACTCATTTGGAACTTGGAACCGTTTTTCCAAGTCACTTGCCAAGTCCCACCGCCACCACCCCGCACCTATCTGTTCCTGCCACCACCACCACCACACGCCGCTGTCTGAGACTTGGGACTTGGATCAAGGCCTAGGACTTGGAACCTAAGACTTGGGATGTGACTCAAGTCTTGTTAGCCAAGACTCGGATTTGGATTTGGGACTCAGGTCCAGAGATTGACCAACATCCCTGAAAAAGAGTTGTTAGCCTGCTAAGAGTCTGATTCCATACTGGTGGCAGAGGGGAGGCACTCTCCTTTATGATCAGCATGGAAATGATGCTGGATATTGGCCTTTAAGGGGAGGGGTGATTTAAAGCCCTGTGGTTAAAATAGGAGTTCTTTCCACTGGAGCAACAGAAGAGGAACGGAGCTGAGGAGTGGGCTTCTCTTCTTCACTACTGTGAAACAAGCAGACTAGCGGAGGAGGGAGGGGCGATTCATCCCTTCTGTATCACCAGATCACTCATTCTCTTGTCCACCCAGAATTCAACACATTCGCCTGCATGGATTTCTCACTCTCCTATAGTTTCTTGGCAAATCGTAAAATGCAAGGTCACAGTTTCCATCCTGCTTTCCATCCTGTATAGAAAGAGTACCTTCAAACACTGCAACTTGTTTTCCAGTTCCATTCTTTTCATAATCAGGGCTTCATTCACAAGGTCTAACCTGTAAACAGCAAATGTAGCATTATTCTTATTATCCAGGGCTTTTATTGTTGCGTAGAGATGTTTGCACTGTTTTGGGTATCAATTCATACTGGTCAGATAAATATAAGGCAGCAAAGGGCCTACAGTCTAGAGCACCACCTAATTTAGCCTCAGACTCCCTAAGGCAGGGATGTATAACCCTGGCTCAAGGGTCGTGTATATATATCCTCCAATGCCCTCCCCCCACAGCTGTCACCTCCTGATCAGGCTGTGCTGTCAATGAGACCAAACTGCCATGGTAGAGTTCCCTGTCAGCAGGAAAGGTATTCCACCTCCTTGCTTCAGATGACCTCAAAGCAATCACAAACATTGCTTCTGTCCCACAATGATGGAGGGAAAACAGTGGTCTTGATCTGGGGGACAGCCGAAGAGTTCCCTTGAGCTACCCAGTTTCTCCCTTGAGCTACCCAGAATCACTTATCACTGTAAAATCACTGTAAGGTTACAAAGGATTCAGCGCTGGCCTTGAGGTAGACTCCCCTAACCTCAGTTCTCTTGTGTGCACATATATTTTTCTGCCCAACCAACAAAACCAGGTGTACGGCTTGTATCTTAGACACAATGGAAAAGGCATTGTTCATCTCTGTCCTGAGTCAATGTCCACAAAGGTTCTCAAGAAGAGAAAGGTGGCGAGAGCCATTGCAGATTTCCCCATCATCTAGTGAACATCCAGCTCTGTGCAAACCTTTGCAGAAATCATTCATTTGATTGTTGAGACAGAGAGACACAAGGACAGGATTGTCATGGGTGAACCAAAGCAGGAATAGGAGACAGGGAGGAAAGGGTTCCTGACACTGTTGGACTCTAAAGCCCAGAATTTCTGGCCATTGAATATGACACCTGGAGCTATTGGGAGTCCAGCTGCCTGTCAAGGCCCACATATACCTTTCACTCCTAAGCTAAAAGAAAGTCTGGCAGCTCTGGTGGATAAAGTATAAAACAGGTTTTTATACTTTTTTTGCTTCATCACTGATTATTCTTTGACCAAGATAATATAAGTTCTAATGGTTAGGAGCATGCAGCAACACAAAACCCATTTATGGATAAATATCACTGAATGATGCCACAAGAATGATTGTAGCAAAGAGATACGTCTGTGTTGTAGAGGAAAACAAGAGGGAAAATAGGAGCTAGGACAGCTGGGACCTTTTTGTATTCCAAAAAGCTAATTCTCCATGCTGCATTTTTGGGCACAGTTGCTGTGCCTTCTCTGGGTTTAGCCCCAATGAAAACCACAGAATAACAGAAAAATCTAATCAATTGTCAGTTATGTGTTGTATTTCAGGAAGTTGCTGAAGTTACATTACAAACTGGGTATTCCGTAATATTTGAAATCCTTATACACTTCTGGTGTTGTAAGCTCATTGATCCATCATGGGAGACTATGTGATCCTGTACCCATTTCAGAGTCCTCGTAAATAATGGGCTTGTGCTTATTACCAGCAGTAACTTCATTCCTTCTTTAATATGTGAAACATCAATGCAGCAAAAACAGTTGTGACAAGATGTAAAAATGCAGGGATATAAATCTTTGACTTGACTACCTTAAAAGATTCCCTGAAGATTTTATCAAGTCCATCACTTGCTTGCAGCCAAGCCCTTCGGTGCTCACTCCATTGATACTCGCCAAAATGTAACCTGTGATTGTTGCAAATTGAAATAATTGGATTGGATATATCAGTCATTGTGTCTGTATCTTTAACAAGTGGTCAGACCATAAGGTGGAGGGAAGTTGGGATGAGGAAGTATTACTTCTTACTTACCACTCTGGAGTCCAGAAAGAAAGGCAGGGCTTCCTTCTGTAACTTTGCAGACGTAAGTACAAGTTTCCACGAAATCTTTTGTTTGGGGCTGACATGGAAGTATCTATAAAACCAGAAACACAGTGTTAGTTGGGAAACTTTCCTTGCATTGTATGGCCCCAACTCTCAGATCTCTGCCAGAATGGCAATATGCTTCAATGTAGAAAGGTTCAATTGAAAGATAAAGAACCATGAGGAGGGGGAGCCTCAAATGCTTTGTCATCATCCTTCAATAGTTCCGCCTGAGCAGAAGCCCAAGTAGGTGTGTTAGTCAGCTTTTCCCTGCGAGAAATGGTTGCCACATGAAATGGGAAACAGGTCTCCTCTACCTTTAACAGATGTGCAGAGGAGGAAATTTTAGTGGGTGTAGCTTGTCATATAAGTGGCACTCACTTTCAAACTTCCTCTTCCACATAACTACGAAAGGCACAGGAGCCCCGTCCTCCAGTTCATTGAGCTACCACAGTCCCCACTATTGTGAGATTTAATCTGTTTCCGTATGAATTATAGACCTTATTTCTAACTTTCTTTCAATACATCTAAATCTGTTCATGCTATTTTTATACAAAACCCTACTCCCCCTTGTCCTATTTTTGGGGAAAGGCATTTCCTCTTTTTTTGTCAATGAGAAAGTGACCACCACGCAATTCTTATGTAACAGCAGGCAGTCCTCCTTCACACAGAAAACTCTCAACTTCCTTCCACTCATCCACCCACCCACCCAATACTAAAGAAAAAAATTCTTTTCTTTAAACCAAAAAGAAGGAGGAGGAGAAAACAACAGGAACAAGCCTCCCACCCAACAACAAAGCTGCCCTTCTCCTTTGCTATCTGGACATTGAGTCATGGAAACTGGACTTCTTTCTTATTAGGTTAAAATATTTCGGTACTAATCCAAGTAGCTTCTTCAGTCTGAGGAGAGTGCAAGTGAAGAAGCGTCTTCAGTCTGAGGAGAGTGCAAGTGAAGACTGAAGAAGCTACCTTGGATGAGTAGTGAAACGTTTCAATCTGATGAGAAAGAAGTCCAGTTGCCATGACTCTACTTCCAGATAACCACACCTGGATGACTGAGAATCTTCACAGATATCTCCTTTGCTATGTTTGTAAAGTTACCAGCAGCTCAAGCATGAATAGCAAGAAATTGGTCCCTTGGCTCATCTATAGCATCTAGAGCTCTAGTGTGTTGTCCAGTTGTTAGACAAGGAGAAAGGAAAGGAAGAGAGACAGACTGCATAAATAGCAGACAGTTATAGCAGTTTAATGCCACTTTAACTGCCACAACACCATCCTATGGCATCTTGTGGTTTGTAGTTTGGTGAGTTGTACAGAATTTACTGCTAGTCAACTCTAGTCCAGTCTTCTGACCTACATCAGAGAAACGTCAATATTTCATCAGATTACAGATCTCAGGGCTCTCCAGATTACAGCCATGACAGTCAAACTAGTATCCAGCTGCTACAACAGATTACAGCCATGACAGTCAAACTAGTATCTAGCTGCTACAACTGTGTAGTATTGATTGATTGATTCATTCATTCATTCATTCATTGATTCATTGATTCATTGATTCATTTGCCACTGACTTCATGTGGGACACTACTCTAAATGGTTTACAACCATAAAGGAAACCAACTCCAGGCCGTTTTCCTAGGCCTCATATGTCAAGGGCACCTTTTGCTCTCCTATCAGGAAAATTAACCATCTTCCTTATTCTTCCCAGACCACTCAGTATACAGGCATGGTAAAATAGTTATTTGTAACATGGAGAAAAGTCACTTGGAGGAGGTAAATTAGATGAAAGTTGTGGCAATCCTCATGGGGGAAATTGAACATTTGCCCTTCCTCCATTTTCCCAAGGCCACCCCCCTCAACGAGCTGCTATTGTATATATCATAAATCACACTCAACGAGCTGCTATTGTATATATCATAAGTCACACAGATTGTTGTTGTTGTTTAGTCATTTAGTCATGTCTGACTCTTCGTGACCCCATGGACCAGAGCACGCCAGGCCCTCCTATCTTCCACTGCCTCCCAGAGTTGGGTCAAATTCATTTCGGTAGCTTCGATGACAAGAGTCACACAGATAGGTAGAGTCTTACCCACAGATTTCCTCCCTTCCTCAGGCCAGTATCCTCTTAATGTGGAGCAGAACAGCAACCGCATAAAGTCCCCTGATGCCCCAGCAGTTTTTGCACTGGTTGCAACATCATTTATGCACCTTAGCAAAAGATCTTCTGGGGACGGCACACTGGGTCCCACTCCTTCACAGCCCCCGATGCTCCAGCAGGTTTGGCACTGGTTGCAACATCATTTATGCACCTTAGCAAAAGATGGGTAGCCTGCTAGAGTGGGAGTAATGCTTAAGGGATTGCCCTTCTGTTCTGTTCTGTGTGCATCGAATCAGATACTGGCTGTGGTGTTAAAGGCTCACCTGAAAGTCAAATCCAAATGTTTCATTGTCTGCTTTGAGGGATTTGAGTGACTTTCTGCTCATAAAAAAGAAAAGAAAACGCCCACGTTAACAAACCACTGTACAGGAAACATTGTTCAAGACCATATTGAGAATAAATCTACCAGTACATATGTAACAAAGCAATTTATTGGAACAATTATATAATAACTGTGGCACTGATCCTTTACAGGAGAAATGCACATGCCCAGACTTATGGTATGGTGTGAACATGGACTGAATGGAAACATGCAAAGCTGAGTACCCAGTGCTACTGAGCACATCCACATGAATGTCTCCTGCAGCTCACAAACCATGGGTATCATTTCTTCCCACTTTGGGGCAGCTTTGCTTTAAAAAACACAGGCTGGTTTGTGCACCAGGCATGCAGTGAAATAGTCAAACTATTTCTTCTCCTTCTGCATTAATGCATTCCAGTTCTGCATGAATTTGTTTCAGCCATGAACTGAGCACCGAAGCCCAAGACACTGCAATTATTACAAGCAAATTTCCTTTAAGAGATTAAAAACATCTCTTTACCCTTCCATATGTTTTGCTTTGCTTTTTTTTTTTACAGATTATCAGGAGGCATCAGTTTAATTGCAAAGGTCCAGACCTTTGAAGGAATTGCATGCTTGAAGGGGAAACCCTTTAATGCAAGGAAACAATATGCTTCCCTTAATGTACTGTATTAATTTGACCCTGAGTTTCCTGAACAGAAAGAGTGATGGGCCAGTTCCTTGTCTGCAAAAGGTAGGATGAGGGAAATAATCAGCTCCCCAAAGTAGAGGTAGTTTGGCTCCCATTACATTTCAAGAGTTCTGTCTTTTCTCACTCAACAGCTATTCCCAACATTATCACTCTAATTCAGTACAGAGATAATGTTGAGATAATCTTATCAGCCACTGGCTTCAAAGGTGCATTGCCTCAAAACTTTTATCAATCTCCAAGCCCATATAACTCACTGTTTCATACAGCTTCATCTTTCAGTGCATGCCAAGTGCCTCCATATCACAATTATTACAATATTGATTGTAGTAAACTAGTACTAAGAAAACAGTAATTTTTTTCCTCCTTACCTCAGAGGGCCAGAACAGTCAGCTGATGAACTTGTTCTACTTAAAGCAAGCTGAGAAAGAGAAATGATGGGAAAGAAGTCAATTTTTACAGAAATACGTTTTCAATAAAACAAAATTAATTAACAGTATAGATTAGGGTTCGGAAACCTGTAGCCTTCTAGATGTTTACATCTGCCTAGCAAACCCAGGGAAATGATGGGAGTCAATGGAATGTGGTGGCTCCGATATCACAGGGGTAATGAATCCTTCTCCAGTATTAATCTTGACTTTACAAGAGTTGGTCTACTGGACAATTATGTCATGCCATAGGTCTACTACCTCTAAATTCCAATTGACTATTCTTCCCACCCTCTCCCTGCACTTTGGATGAAATATCCCTTAGTAAACAGGACATGTTCAAGGATAGCTGTGAACTAATGCACTGGAAGGGAGTAGAAAGCCTCTCTTTTCAGTTATTTCTTTCAGTTGCTAGAACTATGCCAACTCCAGTAAGATCTGTGATATGGTGCAAAAAATACAGTATTTCTTTCAGTTGTTAGAACTATGCCAACTCCAGTAAGATCTGTGAGGAACTCATATGAACCTGCTAGCTTAAGGAGTTCTTCTGATGACTTCAAAGGACCAATTAAATTATGATGATGATGATGCTCTATACCAGAGTGCATTCCAATAAACCAATAATGTACAAATATGCAAAATGTAACATTTAGATACAACCTTAATAGTGCGTGTGTGTGTGTTTATAAACCGGTACATCAAAAAAAAATGGGGAGTTCTTCTGATGACTTCAAAGGACCAATTAAATTATTATTATGATGATGCTGTATACCAGAGTACATTCCAATAAAACCAATAATGTACAAATATGCAACATTTAACATTTATATACATCCTTAATAGTGTGTGTGTGTGTGTGTGTGTGTGTGTGTGTGTGTGTGTATAAACCTGTACATCAACAAAAAATTGCTCAAAAGAAGTAATAATAAAAAAGAATTAAGCAACTGCAAAAAGGCTAGCTAAAAAGTTCAAGTAAGTTACACGGGCCACTGGACCTCTTCCTGCACCTAACACCCTCTGGTTTCATGTTGAACGGATAGGTTTTCAAACCTTGGTCTGAATTGGTCCAGCTCTGGTTCCATACAAAAGGTGCTTTGGGGAGAGAATTCCACAGGTTTCAAGCCAAGCAGGAAAATGCCCAAAGCCTGGAATTTGCCACCTTAGTCCAAGGGACAACAAAAGTCTGGAATCTGTGGACAGAGTCCTCTTAAGAGGAATATGCCACAACACCAACTCTGCCAAATAATTAAGACAGGAATTCATGCCTTTAAATGTCAGGATGAGGATTTTAAAATACTGTACATCCTTGATCTGATAGGCAGCCAATGCAATGTTGTACAATGATGGGAAATATGGGAGTAACATGGTCATTCTAAAAACATTGGTATCACACTATAGTTCTGGCTATATCAACAGCAGCCCACAGAAATCTTTTCCAAGTGAAGCAGTAGGATTTGGTAAGACTGGAGACAGGAGACATTGAAAGTGCAGTCCCATAGACAGAGTTCCAAACCTCTTAATTCTGGGTAAGTCCATATGGGATTCCAGCCTAAGGAAGTTTAAATGAATGTGCTACTGCTTACAGCAAACATGCTTCTTTATATCGACATATTGTTGTCTCTCGCCAAATGTGATTTTGCTTATTCTAGAGCCATTACAAATCATTAAATACATAAATAACAAATGCCTCTCCACATTCCTAGCATTAAATGCAATAAAAACAAAAGAATTTGCCATCAATTTCTTGCCCTTTCATGACACCCCAAATCTGTCTGAGGTAGTTGCTTCACGCTGCCTAACAGTAGTGCTGGGTCTTAAAAAGCAGGAGGACCTAATATCTACATAGAAAGTAGTCTGACATACTGCATTGTGGTACCCGGTATACATTGCATGCGCTGGTTCTCATTAGCCAAACCTTGAAAATAGACAATACAGGAGCACAAAGCGTAGCCCAACAGGAAATTTATCGTGCAGGTGAGAAAGGTTCTGCGAAGCACTGAAGTGAAAACCCTACCTTCTTGTAGTCCCTAGACAAGGTTTCCATTGAATTTATGAATGTCCGCATCCTCCTGTTGTCCAGTGGTGGTGAGCTGCTTATTGGTTCCAAGCAGGGGCCGTGAGTGGCGCTTCCACGGTAGCCCACACAGTTGGCATTGCGGTTCTGCTGAATGAGCCTCTTTAAGGACATCTTGAACACAACGTCAAGTTATTCACACCAGGCTGGCATTGCTAAAGTGCCTGGCCCGACTGAGGAAGCAAAGTAAAAACATGACATCTGCTGTAAGCAACAGTATCAAAAGCAGGGTGGAGGTTGTCCATGTGACTTGTTGTGGTTTTAGACGCAGGTTTCATAAATCTTTTCTCACAGATCACTCAATATTGCTCAATGTTTCTTTTTAAGCTTACAAGAGTTAGGCCTCGCAATTAAAGCAATCTGCTTGTTCCCTCACATTCCTTGGAGAAAGAGAGAAGTAACACTCCTCCTCATGTAGCCTTTATAACCGTTGATACTTCGCATCTTTTAAAGAAGTGTTTTAAAATGTTGATGAGTCTATTATTTTTATAGGCTCACTTTGTGTGTGTATATATATGTGTGTGTTAATACAGTTAAGAAGGAGATTAACATGATTGCTTAAAATAAGCAACAGATTAAAAAGTGCTATTTAAATGTAACATATTGATTCTTCACCAGGAGCCCTGCTTTCCAGCAGAGATATGACTGGTTAGAACAACTCAAGCGCCTTCTTTTCTGGTCCAGGGCTGAGAATGAAGATGCAGAAAGAGTGCTGCAATTTACCTGAGTAAACTAAAATTTAGGCACACCAATGATGAAGACTCTCCTAATATGACATAACAACAAAATACAAATGCAGTAAGAACACAGACACCCCATTGGTGGGATCAGTATTCACTCTTTCACCTAAAGAGTGAAAGAAAAAACCCACAATAGAGGGTTGTGGGGGGGGGTGACAGCTCATCTCCAAGATGCCCTCTCCAGACAAGACTTCCAAGGAAAGATTGGAGCCAACTTAATGCCATGCCTCAAAGCTAAACCTCTGAGAACCTGTCCAGGAGGATACCATGGTTGATGGTATTAAAAGCTACAGAGAGACCCAGGAAGACCAACAGGGTATGCCGTCTCCCGTCAGCTTCCCTTAAAAGGTCAGCAACTCAACTCTTCTTCTTTTTTGTAGGATGTGGGTTCAGTGACTTTGCTTGGCTGAGCTTCAGTCATGCCTTCCAATTCAGTTTTTGCATGTCTTCCTCTGCATGCTGTCTGCCAGACTCCTCTTCAAGAATCTGAAAACAGTTCTTACAGTTCCAGTGGTGAAGGAGTGTTTCTTCTTTCGCCCCTGTTTCCCACGGTCTTTTCTTCACTATGTTTATTCTCTCCTCAACATTCTCCATCTTTGCTTTGTTTTGCTGTTCTACCACCTCTAGTGCCTCCTTTGGCTGCTGCTGCTCATGGGTTTTACGTATTCTTCATCTTCTCTTACAGCCCTGAGTGTGGCCACTCAGTGCTCCTATTCACTTGCTCTCTCTTGCGACAATGCAATCAGTTTGACCTGCTATATGTGTGCGCCAAGTTGTTCTCTGGCATGAAGACAAACATTGCACACACTTTTCAGCTCACCAGCATACTATCTTGTCCATTTTATGCTTGCTGTAGCCTTGTTGCCTGTACAAGGATCGAGAACAATACCATTATGTTTAGCCAATTACATTTCCAAGCCTAAAAACAAAGAGGTGGTATCTGCATATACTGTAACTGTTATTAGTGGGTCTTCAAGAAATGTGTGTGAACTGGGGGGGCATTGTATATGTGTGGGGGGAAATTGGGGTTGGGGGAAGGCTGCTAAAACAGTGAGAAATTAGGACTAGCACAATTCCTTTGAAGTTGAGCATAGCTCAGATTTGTCTTTACTGCTTAGTTCTTTCAAGCCATCTTTAACCAACAGGTGGTATTTATTCTTCTCAGCTTCCCTTTGGTTTCCTGTATCTGCCTTTTTAAGAGAAAAATATGTTTCAGCTATCACCGTGCTTCCTGTAAACTATGAATATGTCTGGGCCTAAGCACAACTGTGGTCACATTGCTCTTCCGCAGTGTTACAGATAGGTGTTCACGAAGCCATTCCTCATGGTCTACGAGACTTGACAATTGTACAGATACTTTGGGGCTTCCGACTAATTTCAGCTTTTCTTTTTCTTTACGTTTTCTTACTAAATGGAACATTTCCTGACAATTAGAGCTTCAGGAGAGACTTCCTGTTTTTATCACTTCTACTTCATCAGTAACTATCATCAACTGTTTGATAAACAAGAGAAAGGGTCCTGCACAGTACATTGCTGACTATTTATAGGGAGAGGAAAAGACAAGAGGTTGAAAAAGTTAATGTTTGGACTACAGCTCCCAGAACCTCCTAGCTATCATGAGTAATCAATATTCTTCAAGTCTCAGTAAAAATATCTATTTTTCCTTAGCTCTGAAAATAAGGAAATATTTTTGTAATGGCCACCTGTTGCAGTGAGAGTTAATTTTCCTTCCTCTCTTTCCCCCTCATCTTTCTGAGGGCTACCATATTGTGGATGCTAATGTGTACACGGGTTTCCTGGATAACTCAATGGTTTAGTTATCTGGCTGCAGAGCCAGAGGTGGAGTTTTAATTCCCTATTGTGCCTCCTGCAATTAAAGCCAACCTGTGTAGCCTTGGGCAAGCTGCACAGTCTCAGGATACCCCTAGAAGAAGGAAGAGGTACAGTATTTCACTTCTGAGTATTCTCTACCTGGAGAACTCTGAACAAGGGTCACCATAAGTCAGAATTCACCTGATGGTAGATGATGATGATTATCAGAATATTTTATTTATTTAAAATATTTCTATCCCACCTTTCTCCCCCAAAGAACCCAAGGTAGGTGCGAAGACAGACCTCCCAGGCCCCCCACTCCCTCCCAACAGCTGCTTTGCACACACACACACATGCGCACCAGCGCCGGCATAAGCACTCCCCCACTGCTTCGCACATGCGCCTTAGAGCACGCCCCCCATGTGATAGAGAGTGCTTCTTCTCACATGCACACGAGGGTGGGGGTGTGCCTCACCTTCCTCAGCCAGTCTGCTGTCCCGAAAAGGTTGGGACCACTGTTTTAGGATATTTTTCAAAGTTCTAAACTATTCCAGATATGGTGACTAAGGAGAAGCAAGATGTAACTCCTCATGAGTCAAACCTCTTTAGGAGCAGGTGCTCTTAAATAGGTTTGACCCATGAGACCAACCAGAACACATGTTCCACAGGGATGTCAATGGAAACTATATCTCCCTCTGCCCTTCAGTCTCTGGTCTTCTGTTTAGCAAGCTGAAGATCATATTGTAGTCCAATAACACCATTGAGCTGCCATACTTATACAGGCAGGTACATTATGGTCAACAATATCTCTGTTATACACATTTTTCAGTTCCCCATTAAGATTGTAGTTTTTCCCATCTCAGTGGCAGAGAGAGCTTAGAAAAGTCAAGATGACACCTTCCAGAATCCCCCAGCCAGCATGGCTGCCGGAATCCCTCAACCACGGCAGCTGGTGGGTGCAGGGAAGTGAAGCTGAAAAAAGTAATATTTCTAAGCTCTCTGCTACTGGTTTGGTGCGGAATTTCAGAGCAACAACCCCCACTCTTGGCTCATGTCAGGAAAGCATCATGTTGTGTGAGGGCTTGACCTTAGCTCAGTACCCTGACACCTTACATGCTTTCCCCTGCCACAGCAAGATAGCTAGCTCCCCATCCTCAGGCTAACCCACATGGACGCTTGCTTCCACTCAGCCCAACGGTGCTGTGCCTCATTTTCTGTCTTTTGTTCCCTCTCTAGTCCTCCTGCCTTGATGCCACTCTCTTTGGAGTCCCTTTCATCTTCATAGCTCCAGCGAAATACCTGCCTGCCTTTTGGCCTGGCAAATGGACCTCCGTAGCAGTCAGCCCCACTGCCAGCTCTCACAGAGCAAACAAAACAAAACAAAAATCAAGAAAGGAATGAGGGATGGAGCTGGTAGAAGGCCACCTGTTCTTCTGCAGTGGGTCTCCCTATGGAAAGAGATTCTAGGCCAGGGCAAGCTGAGCAGTGGAAATCCAGATCCCGGCCCAAAGGTTTGACTTCTATCTGAACCCAGCTCCACCAGATCAAAAGCTGAACTCTTAACTCATTTGAAAACAGAAGCAAAATAGAGTTGTATTTAATACCCCTTGCTATTAGTAGGGGCAAGTAATGGAAGAGAGTGGAGACACAACACACCTGTTTTTCTAGGATAAAAGTCAGCCATCTGCTTGTTATTGCTTGTTTTTCTGCTGAATACAAACTAGGCAGTTCCCCCAGGGAGAACATCCTCTTTCAACTTGCTTGAATGAGATGACTAATGTACTTGCTGGTACTCAGTGACTCAGGCTTTCTTTACCACCACCACCCCCCTTTAGCATTGTTTTCTTGTGTATTGTAGAAAACAACCAGTGTACCTTTCTGACCCTTAAATATCATACAGGCCTTTTCATTTTTCTTGAAAACGCAGTAAACTATCCTTAAGATCCATCAACAAGTGAGGGAAATTGTTCTTGCATTTCATCACCAACAGATTGCTCCACTTAAGAAACCAAACAAATCCACAGATAGTAATGTTGCATTAATATTGTTAAGCAAGAAATGGAACAAAATACAGTCAGCTAACTAGGACCTGGGTTGGGAATAATATGGGAAAGAGTTTTAATACAGCACACAAACATAGACATACAGAGAGAGAGAGACAGCCTAGCTCCTTGGTATTATTGGAGCAGCACATAAGTGGCATATACTGCCCAAGCTGATGGACCATTAAAGAAATTCAAGAAAGGGGCGTCTGCTATTAAAGAAATTTAAAGAAATTAAAGAAATTAAAGAAATTCAAGAAAGGGGCTTTAGAAGAATTGATGTTCTGTTTAGCAGTCATAGCAAACTGCCATTGATAGAGTTTGTTGCAACCAGGGCGTGAGCTGAGAAAATGTGATCTCTCCCTCCCCATGCTGTTGCCTGCTCTCTGTAAAAACAACAACAAAAACTTATTTTCGGCCCTGATTATCCACCTCAGTGCCAGGGCTGTCTTAAATATTAGTCTCTTATGTATATGAGAGGCAAACAGTGGCCACAGTCCTGTTGATGTTCCTGTAAGGTTTGTATGACTTGCCATGACTAATTGCAGCTAATGGACAAGGTAGCAGGGCCCATTTTGGCTGCACAATCGGGTATGTAACCAGGCACATGATCAAAACATACCCTTGTACCTCATCAATTGCCTGCAGAAAATTAGGCAAACCTCACATTGGTTTCTGGCCAATATATTATACACATTTTGGCAGGAAGAGAGCTCGATAACAGTAACCTGCTATTAGTAAGCAGTGCCTGTCATAGTTGTAGTTGTACAAGGGGTAGCCATGTTAATCTGTGCAAGCATCATCGGTGAAAACAAAATAAGTGGGGGGCACTAGTAGTGAAACATTTCAATCTAATAAGAAGTCCAGTTGCCATGACTCTACTTCCAGATAACCACACCTGGATGACTGAGAATCTTCACAGATATCTCCTTTGCTATATTTGTAAAGTTAACAGGATTGCAACTGATTACAAAGAAAAGCTTGTAGGGAGAAAAAGTTGATCAATGGCTGTAAATAGCCCACCTAATTAACATTCATGTTACTCTACCATTGTTACCTTACCATTGTTATTTTACCTTAATAATCCTATCCTTTATAGTGAAAGACTTGCATATCCAAGATGCTATCATCACAATGTTTAACACCCACTAACTTTCTTACCAACCAACTGGATTCCAATACTTTGATGCCATGGATAAATATTTGCCATGTCATGTCTCCTTTTCTTATGTCTGACGAAGTGGGCTTGTCCACAAAAGCTCACATTTAAAAATAGAAAAGTAAGTCTTTAGAGTGCTACTGTGCTTTTGTCTTTTTCTTTCTTTTTTTTAACTTTTTATTTATATAGTATTTTGTTTTCACTTATATTGGTAACCAGTGACTTCCAAGCTATGCTGAATGGAGCATCCACCACATCCAGCATCCCTTCATCTCCTCTCTCCCATGCTTAGGACTGTTGCCTTAGATCATCACATCCCCAGCAGCAAGAGGATT